TGTTGTACACAGTGGTACCCAGTGGTACCCGGGGGTTTTAGCCTCCCCCCTACATCATCTGTCTCCCCCCTCACCCTTACAACAACCCCCTACTCCCCTCACTCCCTCCCCTATTTAATGGGGGCTAACCCCAAGCGTCAGGCATTCGAAAAGGTTCAAATACCCAATGAGGTTATACCCAATTACGGTATATCCAAGGTCGTTATACCCAATAACGAATCCAAATATTAAGTCATACAGTATATCCTAAATATCCAGGCGTCTATATTTTATCCAGTCTCACCACTCACTGTAATTGTAGCAGAATGGTAAATTCTTTAAATAAATGTTAGTTACATATCTCACATGATAATTCTGTATGACAACTGAGTTCTCGAGTTCAGAAACGCCTACACACAGATTCGAAATTGTAATTGAAATAAGTTTATTGAGGTGTAAATACACACAAAGGAATGAGGTAGCTCAAGCTATTCTCACCTCGTTCAGTACGTGTTTATATATATATATATATATATATATATATATATATATATATATATATATATATATATATATATATATATATATATATGTCGTACCTAGTAGCCAGAACGCACTTCTCAGCCTACTAACCAAGGCCAGATTTGCCTAATAAGCCAAGTTTTCATGAATTAATATTTTTTCTCGAATTTTTTTCTTATGAAATGATAAAACTACCCATTTCATTATGTATGAGGTCAATTTTTTTTATAGGAGCTAAAATTAATATGACCGAACCTAACCAACCCTACCTAACCTAACCTATCTTAATAGGTTAGGTTAGGTTAGGTTAGGTGGCAGAAAAAGTTAGGTTAGGTTAAGTTAGGTAGGTTAGGTAGTCGAAAAATAATTAGGTTAGTTAGGTACGACATATATATATATATATATATATATATATATATATATATATATATATATATATATATATATGTTTCATTGAATATGACCGCATATTCTGTATTTATTATTTTCTGGTTTAGGGCTTCTATCCCTCTAACTATTTTCTTAGCATCAGGGCTTAATTGAAATAGGAGTTCTAGAACTCCTATTTCAATTAAGCCCTGATGCTAAGAAAATAGTTAGAGGGATAGAAGCCCTAAACCAGAAAATAATAAATACAGAATATGCGGTCATATTCAATGAAACATGTTTGAAAGAAAACCTGCTGCCAGTATACACCAATATATAAATATATATATATATATATATATATATATATATATATATATATATATATATATATATATATATATATATATATAATATATATTTCGAAATGATTACTTAATCCTCGATAGACTATTTGGATTTTAATCTCACTTTATAAGAGATGAATGTTGTTGACCTTTAAAACTACATGTTGCATTGTGCGGCTGGATTTCACCAACGATTTCCTGACACGCAAGCAGAGATTTGCACCAGGAAGCATTACAACACTTAAGTCCCCCATTCATAGACTTATCCCTTGAGCTTTCAAACTCTTGTGTCCACTCTTGGCTTTTTTTTTTTTTTTTTTTTTTTTTTTTTAAGGTATATACAAGAGTTGTTACATTCTTGTACAGCCACTAGTACGCGTAGCGTTTCGGGCAAGTCCTTAATCCTATGGTCCCTGGAATACGATCCCCTGCCGCGAAGAATCGTTTTTTCATCCAAGTACACATTTTACTGTTGCGTTAAACAGGCTACATTTAAGGAATTGCGCCCAGTAAATCCTCCCCGCCCAGGATACGAACCCATGACATAGCGCTCGCGGAACGCCAGGCGAGTGTCTTACCACTACACCACGGAGACTGCTTCTCCTTCAGCTCCTGATCTCAATGATTCACTCAAACTCCACAAAACATCTATGCTAATGTAGCCACTACAATGAATTTTTATCTGGTTCGTATCCCTTATCTTCCATCTTAACAAGAACTCGGTAATGTGATGTTATAGTGGCCGGAATACGCCTGGGAGCCGGTCGGCCGAGCGGACAGCACGCTGGACTTGTGATCCTGTGGTCCTGGGTTCGATCCCAGGCGCCGGCGAGAAACAATGGGCAGAGTTTCTTTCACCCTATGTCCCTGTTACCTAGCAGTAAAATAGGTACCTGGGAGTTAGTCAGCTGTCAAGGGCTGCTTCCTGGGGGTGGAGGCCTGGTCTAGGACCGGGCCGCGGGGACACTAAAAAGCCCCGAAATCATCTCAAGATAACCCTCTCAAGATAACGTATTTAGCACATTTCGACTTGATAATGACCCATGATGGACCGAAATGTCGCCGTCTCCTTATCTTTCAATATGTTTCAGTCTTCACTTCCACTTAATACATACACCAACAGAACCTAAACCCCTAACCTAAGCCTAATTATACATAAAAATTTTAATACATACTAATATACTAGTATACATACTGTATACTAATATGTATACATCAGAACAAACCTATTTTGAAAACATTATGATAAAATTGGAGAATGTGTTATGGGGGAGGAGCAGCCGCATTAACGAGCTTGTTCTTAACGAGTATAGTTGGGTTGTTTGGGTTAAGTGACATGTTGGATACTCCAGCAATTCAAGGAGTTTCACCACTAGGGCGCGAAATCCCTTGTGCGGTGGTACATCGCGATTCGCGCTATGTGCGGGAAATATTAGCGGTTCAGCGGAAAATATTAGCGGTTCAGCGGAAAATATTAGCGGTTCAGCGGAAAATATTAGCGGTTCAGCGGAAAATATTAGCGGTTCAGCGGAAAATATTAGCGGTACAGCGGAAGATATTAGCGGTTCAGCGGAAAATATTAGCGGTTCAGCGGAAAATATTAGCGGTTCAGCGGAAAATATTAGCGGTTCAGCGGAAAATATTAGCGGTACAGCGGAAGATATTAGCGGTTGAGTATAATATATTTCAAATATCATTATATAAGTTTGTTCTACCGAGTCAGTGCTGCGTTCAAAACACCTTAAATAATTGAACAAATCCACAAGGGCCATGACTAGGGTTCGAACCCACGTCCGAGAGGATCCCAAACACTGCCTTAATCGACTGAGCTACGACATGGTAAAAAGAATTGCAACCGGGAAATCATCCAGACTTACCACCGGAGCCTGCAGTCTCTCCGAGACACAAACCAGGGTTTACTCAACCTTGAGTAATTACTTCCTAAAATACGTGAATCAAGCGCTCGTTGACGCTCACTATTACTCAAGCGCCAGTTGACCCTCACTAATACTCAAGCGCCCGTTAACGCTATTTGGTGACCCGTATTTAATCACCTTAAAGAGGACAATCGGGGATTTTTTTTCCAGTTCAGAGTCTCAAGGGGAGTTTATATAAGCAGTAAATTAATTTTTTTGAAGCCGAACAAAGCTGTTTATTCTCGAGTCACGACATGATGTCATTGACCAAAGTGCCACAAAGCAAAGGAGTGCCAAAGTGCCGTCTTTGTCCACTTTGTGGTCAAAGTGTCGTTAAATCATTCTAATGATTTGTGGCCCCCGTGAATTAATTGGTTATTTGAGCAGTTTTTTCAATGATTATGTTTATGGTAAATCTTGCTGGGATGATGTTAATTAACTCTTATATACAGTTGGAAATACAACTGTTTTTGTTGATTTTTTTCTGTTAATGGGTATTTGGTTTGATCAGGAATTGATTGTAACAATTATATGGGGTTGTTGAAGTAGATGGAGCCATTTGAGTTTACTGGTGTCGTTAGGCCACGAGGTAAAGTAACCATCTTAAAATAGGGAAACTGAAATATATTTCCTCGTAATTACGTGTAAAACATGTAGAGAAGAATTGTATTTTAATTAAGTGAATATTGTTTTTTAAGTTTTCTTGATTTGCCACTCCGTTATAAATACAATCTTCTTATGTATCCAGACTCTTTGGTCCCGCCTCTCAACTGTCAATCAACTGGTGTACAGATTCCTGAGCCTACTGGGCTCTATCATATCTACACTTGAAACTGTGTATGGAGTCAGCCTCCACCAGCCTGTGTGTGTGTGTGTACTCATCTAATTGTGCTTGCGGGGGTTGAGCTTTGGCTCTTTGGTCCCGCCTCTCAACTGTCAATCAACTGGTGTACAGGTTCCTGAGCCTACTGGGCTCTATCATATCTACACTTGAAACTGTGTATGGAGTCAGCCTCCACCATATCACTGCCTAATGCATTCCACCTGTTAACGACTCTGACACTGAAAAAGTTCTTTCTAACGTCCCTGTGGCTCATTTGGGTACTCAAGTTTCCACCTGTGTCCCCTTGTTCGTGTACAAACCCTTTGTTAAATAATCTGTCCTTATCTACCCTATCAATTCCCCTTAGAATCTTATATGTGGTGATCATGTCTCCCCTAACTCTTCTTTCTTCCAGGGACGTGAGGTTCAGTTCCCGTAGTATTTCCTCGTAGCTCATACCCCTCAGCTTGAGTACAACTCTGGTAGAGCACTTTTGATCCTTCTCGAATTTAGTCTTGTACTTGACTAGAAATGGACTTGAAGCTGGAACTGCATACTCCAAGATTGGTCTGACATATGTGGTATACAAGGTTCCAAATGATTCCTTACCCAAGTTTCTAAAGGCAGTTCGTATGTTGGCCCACCTAGAATATGCCAATGATGGTGTGTGTGTGTGTGTGTGTGTGTGTGTGTGTGTGTGTGTGTGTGTGTGTGTGTGTATTTTGAACTACAAAGATAAATTATTCTTTGTAATTATATTGAGTTGAAACCAAATAGATGACGCAAAAAATTATTGATATTGTTGAATATGCAATACTGAAAGAGATGAATACAAAGGTGATGAGTCAATCGTCATATCACGAAGCTGAGGCAACAGCTGCTTTTTCCAGCTCAAGCTGCAAGGATTGGAAACAGATTGGAGGTAAAAATTGCTTTTATGCAGTTGCAAGAGTCGTATATGAGCAATTTCCAATGTTGAGAGGTGAAGAGGTGGTGAGAAGAGTTTATATGTAACAGAGGTTCCACTAGAGTTATCTAGAGCGGATTTTATGGAAAAGGCGTGATGAGGCCTGGAAAAGGCATGATACTGCCTGGAGAAGGCATGATACTGCCTGGAAAAGGCGTGATACGGCCTGGAAAAGGCGTGACACGGCCTGGAAAAGGCGTGATACGGCTTGGAAAAGGCGTCATACGGCTTGGAAAAGGCGTAATACGGCCTGGAAAAGACGTGATTAGGCCTGGAAAAGACGTGATGAGGCCTGGAAAAGACGTGATGAGGCCTGGAAAAGACGTGATGAGGCCTGGAAAAGGCGTCATACGGCTTGGAAAAGGCGTAATACCGCCTGGAAAAGGCGTCATACGGCTTGGAAAAGGCGTAATACCGCCTGGAAAAGGCGTCATACGGCTTGGAAAAGGCGTAATACGGCCTGGAAAAGGCGTGATACGGCCTGGAAAAGGCGTGATACGGCCTGGAAAAGGCATGATACGGCCTGGAAAAGCCGTAATACGGCCTGGAAAAGGCATGATACGGCCTGGAAAAGCCGTAATACGGCCTGGAAAAGGCGTCATACGGCTTGGAAAAGGCGTAATACCGCCTGGAAAAGGCGTCATACGGCTTGGAAAAGGCGTAATACCGCCTGGAAAAGGCGTCATACGGCCTGGAAAAGGCGTAATACGGCCTGGAAAAGGCATGATACGGCCTGGAAAGAGAAAGTCAGGATGATTTTGCCAAAAAAAGGTGGAATTTAATCTCTATCGTGAAGATTGGTGGATAAATATATAGATTTTAAGCTTAATGGATTAGTGGGATACACTGACAAAAATCAACCCAAAGACTTAATCCAGAAGCTTAAACAGAATCTCTCAAGCTGAAGCGAGATGCTATGAATGATAGCCAGAAATGATATCTAGTGTTAAATCCTTGCAAGAATGCAAATCATAGTTGCAACAGAATCCTGTAAGTGGCTTCTAACTCTGTATTTCCCCCCAGCATCCCAGACCTAACCAGATGCTGCAAAGTGTTAAATCCTTGCAAGAATGCAAATCATAGTTGCAACAGAATCCTGTAAAGTGGCTTCTAACCCTGTATTTCCCCCCAGCATCCCAGACCTAACCAGATGCTGCAAGGCTCTATAGTGCAAAAAAGTATCCGAAGTTTGTGTATTCCTTATACGTGAATGTATTTCCTACATTGCTTTTCATGCGCTCAATAAAACATTCACTTTCGCTGGCCTGGGATCGAGCCTTTCTTCTAGGGGGAGGGGGGAAGGATTTGGAAAATAGAAAGGTGTAGAAGAGATATGGAAGAGGAGGAAGAGAAAGTGAAAAAGAGAGGGATAAAAATAGGAAGAGGTAGGGAATATTGTAGTGTGTTTGTGTGTGTGTATTCACCTAGTTATATTCACCTAGTTGTGTTTGCGGGGGTTGAGCTTTGTTCTTTTTGCCCGCCTCTCAACCAACTGTTTACTAACTACTTTTTTTCCACACACACACACACACACACACACACACACACACACACACACACACACACACACACACACACACATCCTGTAAATCCTTGCAAGAATGAGCTACGAGGGATGGGGTATGAAGAGCGCCTGAGGGAACTGTGCCTTACGACACTAGAAAGAAGAAGGGAGAGGGGGGACATGATAGGAACGTATAAGATACTCAGAGGAATTGACAGAGTGGACATAGACGAAATGTTCACACGGAATAGTAACAGAACGAGAGGACATGGATGGAAGCTTGAAACTCAGATGAGTCACAGAGATGTAAGGAAGTTTTCTTTTAGCGTGAGAGTAGTGGGGAAATGGAATGCACTTCAGGAACAGGTTGTGGAAGCAAATACTATTCATAATTTTAAAACCAGGTATGATAGGGAAATGGGACAGGAGTCATTGCTGTAAACAACCGATGCTCGAAAGGCGGGATCCAAGAGTCAATGCTCGATCCTGCAAGCACATATAGGTGAGTATAGGTGAGTACACACACACACACACACACACACACACACACACCAGGAAGCAGCCCGTGACAGCTGACTAACTCCCAGGTACTTATTTACTGCTAGGTAACAGGGGCACTCAGTTTGAAAGAAACTTTGCCCATTTGTTTCTACCTGGTGCGGGAATCGAACCCGCGCCACAGAATTACGAGTCCTGCGCGCTATCCACCAGGCTACCAGGCCCCTGTGTATGTATGTATGCGTATGTGTGTATGTGTGTGTGTGTGTTCAAGCTAAAAAAAAATGGCCCAACTGAGAGTAGAGAGAAACAAATGGCCACGCGTCAAGATGAATCAGGAGGAGAAAGAGTGAGAAAATTACCTAATCTTCAATATTTTTCATTGGTGGCAGCGGTGGGAACGAGCCATCTTTGGGGCGGAGGGGATTGGGGGGATGATTGTGAGGTCAGGCCTCGGTGAGAGAGGTGATTGTGAGGTCACCCTTCAGTGATTGTGAGAGGGTGGTGAGGCTGGTCACTTCTGGAAAAGGGAGAATGGTGTGTGAGGGGAAAACTCAGCTGGATTTGACGTTTCAGCTTAGCTCTCAATTCCTGGACGTGGATGACGGTCTGATGGAAGAATTGAATAAAGGCGAAATCCGCGAAATAGGATTGCGATCTCAGCATTTAGCCGCGATAAAAGTGAGAGCTTAAAAGGAGTTGAGAAAATCACTAAGATGTTTCTCAGAAGAGCAAGATGTGAAAACATCTTTGAAGCAAATTCGTTGGAAAGCTTCAAAAGTATCGTTTCAACGAAGCTGTGGCCGGAACAGCTTGGATAAGAACATAAGAACAAAGGCAACTGCAGAAGGCCTATTGGCCCATACGAGGCAGCTCCTATTTATAACCACCCAATCCCACTCATATACATGTCCAACCCGCGCTTGAAACAATCGAGGGACCCCACCTCCACCACGTTACGCGGCAATTGGTTCCACAAATCAACAACCCTGTTACTGAACCAGTATTTACCCAAGTCTTTCCTAAATCTAAACTTATCCAATTTATACTCATTGTTTCGTGTTCTGTCATGTGTTGATACTTTTAATACCCTATTAATATCCCCTTAGATATAAGTTTTTTAAGCTTTCGAGCATGGGTCAATAGAAGCTTACTTAAGTGGGTCAATAGGCACTTGTTCGTATGGGGACAATATTGTTAGCTCGCATGGGGGTAATAGGTGCTGACACGTATATCAACTCTTTTTTTTCAGTTATATCGTACTAAGACTAGGGAAAGGATAGGTCCATTAAAAACTGAGACAGGTCAAATAACAGATAGTGATGAAGAGATGAGTAGTATTTTTAATAAATATTTTGTATCTGTATTTACTAAAGAGGAACTTAACAATATGCCTTCAGCCGAACAAGTCTATGTGGGTGGGGACGAGGACAGGTTGACGAGTTTAGCAGTTACCAGGGAGGATGTTCTTAAACAAATAGTAAAACTCAAACCAAACAAATCCCCAGGGCCGGATGAAGTGTTTGCTAGGGTGCTTAAAGAATGCAAAGAGGAGCTTTGTGACCCACTGTCAACCATATTTAATAAATCAATAGAGTCAGGCAGAGTGCCAGAGTTTTGGAAAGTTGCTAATGTGATACCAGTTTTTAAGAAAGGAGATAGATCACTTGCGTCTAACTATCGACCAATTAGCCTAACGTCTATTGTGGGAAAGTTACTCGAATCTATAATAGCAAATAAAATTCGTCTTCATCTTGAAAAACATAAATTAATAATTGAGTCGCAACATGGTTTTATAAATGGCCGTTCATGTTTAACAAATTTGTTATCTTTTTATTCTAGCATTGTTGAGGCAGTTGATAGTGGTAAGGATTGCGATGTTGTATACCTTGACTTTAGCAAAGCTTTTGATACAGTGCCACATGAAAGACTGATTAAAAAAATAGAGTCTCATGGTATTGGGGGTGCTATATTAAGCTGGATTAGGGCATGGCTATACCAAAGGAAACAGAGAGTTAGTATAAATGGAATCAAGTCAGAGTGGGAAAATGTTGTAAGTGGAGTGCCTCAAGGCTCTGTCCTGGGACCTCTGTTGTTTATAATATATATAAATGATTTAGATTCAGGTTTGAGTAGCAACATTTGCAAATTTGCCGATGATACGAAAATCGGTAGGGAAATTAATTCGGAGGAGGACTCACTATCACTTCAAGTTGATCTAGATAGGGTTTTGAAATGGTCAAAGGATTGGCAGATGCAGTTTAATGCTGATAAATGTAAAGTTCTGAGGTTAGGTAATGATGATAGAGTTACAAGATACGAGCTAGATGGTGTTGTGATTGCGAAGTCGGATTGCGAAAGGGATCTGGGAGTTATGATTAGTAAGAATTTAAAACAAAAGGATCAATGCATAAATGTTCGTAATAAGGCAAATCGGACACTTGGATTTATTAATCGCAGCGTTAGTAACAAGACACCTGGTGTGGTTCTCAAGCTATATCTTGCTCTAGTTAGGCCCCATTTAGATTATGCAGTTCAGTTTTGGTCGCCATATTATAGAATGGATATAAATTCACTTGAACGTGTCCAGCGTAGGATGACTAAGTTAATTCCCCAAATTAGAAATCTTTCATATGAAGAAAGATTAACAAAGCTTAAGTTGCATTCACTGGAAAGGCGAAGAGTTAGGGGTGACATGATAGAGGTTTACAAGTGGATGAATGGACATAACCGGGGGGATATTAATAGGGTATTAAAAGTATCAACACAGGACAGAACACGAAACAATGGATATAAATTGGATAAGTTTAGATTTAGGAAAGACTTGGGTAAATACTGGTTCAGTAACAGGGTTGTTGATTTGTGGAACCAATTGCCGCGTAACATTGTGGAGGTGGGGTCCCTCGATTGTTTCAAGCACGGGTTGGACAAGTATATGAGTGGGATTGGGTGGTTATAGAATAGGAGCTGCCTCGTATGGGCCAATAGGCCTTCTGCAGTTACCTTTGTTCTTATGTTCTTATGTTCTTAACTCGCTTGTATGGGTCAATACAAGTTGGCTTGTATAGATCAATTGGTTGAAATGGATCACTATGACCTATCTTGTATAGATCAATAGGCTCCTGGATCGCATCGGTCAATAAGATTTGACTCTTCGGTCAATATAATAACAGATTAATAAATGCAACTGTAGAAAGCCTATTGATCCATACGAGGCACCTCCTATTTACATGTACCCAATCTCATGCCTATGTCTAACCTACGCTTGAAACAATCGAGCAATTCTACGTCTATTTTGTTACCCAGTAATTTGCTTCTTAAATCTACAGCCCTATTTTAAAACCAGTATTTACCCTGGACTTTTCCCGAGTCTATATTCAATTTAGATCCCTTATTATGTGTTCTATTTTGTCTGGGTAATATTTACAACCCCATTTGTATTTCCGTTGTTGTACCTATATTACACACACACATACACACACACACACAGGCGGGATCCAAGAGTCAATGCTCGATCCTGCAGACACAACTAGGTGAGTACACACACACACACACACACACACACACACACACACACACACACACACACACACACACACACACACACACACACACACACACACACACACACACACACACACACACACACACATGTATGCCACATATGTAAGACCAATCCTGTAGTATGCGGGTCCGGCATGGATCCCGTACCTTGCCAAACACAAGACGAACCTGAAAAAAGTTCAGAGGTATGCCACTAGACTAGTCCCGGAACTAAGAGGCATGAGTTACGAGGAAAGGCTTCGTGAAATGCACCTTACGACACTGGAAGACAGACGAGTAACGGGAGGCATGATCACAACCTACAAAATTCTAAGAGGAATTGACAGGATAGATAAAGAAAGATAAACTGTTTAAAACGGGTGGGATACGAACAAGGGGACACAGGTGGAAACCGAGTACCCAAATGAGCCACAGGGACGTTAAAAAAAACGTTTTCAGTGTCAGAGTAGTGAACAGATGGAATGCATTAGGCAGTGATGTGGTGGAGGCTGACTCCATACACAGTTTCAAGTGTAGATATGATAGAGCCCAGTAGGCTCAGGAACCTGTACACCAGTTGTTTGACAGTTGAGAGGCGGGACCAAAGAGCCAAAGCTCAACCCCCGCAAGCACAATTAGATGAGTACACAACCCCTGAATGCAGCCCACTAATTCAACACCCACGCAGCCTATTTACAGCAAGGTGAACATAAACATCAGCAGAAAGAAACTCAAACCAAAACGTCTCGCCTGGGAACCGAACCCGGGTTCCTGGACTCTGCCTACTTGGTCCCTAAATGTGTGCAATCGTTGCAAGAGCAACAACAGTTCTCAAAAATTGCAAAGTTGAGGAGAGTTATGGCCCTAGAAAGTAAAAATAAGCAAGGAGGATATCACGTTAAAAAAGGTGTAATTATTAAAGCAGGATATATCCTCAAGGAGGAAGGAACCCTTAAGGGGAAACTTGCTTTTATCTGTCTTGGCCTTCAGGTAATCAATCATAATTACCACGTCCAAGTGTCTTCATCCGAGAATGATCACCCCCACCCCCCTCTTCCTATCATTCTTGGGGTTCTTTTCCCATATATATATATATATATATATATATATATATATATATATATATATATATATATATATATTATATATATAATATATGACAGTGTCAGACCACGGAGGAAAATTGAAACAGGAATTTCCTTAAGTACTTTCGTATATTAATACATCTTCAGAAGGAGTTTTCCATGTTTCCACTCCTTCTGAAGATGTATTAATATACGAAAGTACTTAAGGAAATTCCTGTTTCAATTTTCCTCCGTGGTCTGACACTGTCACATTTTTAATCACGTGTTTATTTTCGTGATACACACACACACATTATATATATATATATATATATATATATATATATATATATATATATATATATATATATATATATATATATATATATATATATATATAATATCCCCTTTTGATCTCTATTTCCCCTTTGTTCTTAGTGTCTCCCTTTGTTATTTTTTATATCTTGCTTTTGGTTTATTGTTCTTTGCGAGTTCTTTGTTCATTTTCCATGTTTCTTGATTTTCTTAAAGTTTTCTAAGATGTTTTTCCTTTAAAATCAAATCTCAATTTTATAATTAACAAAGAACCAAAATTATACATGTTGTGAATTTGTTCATTGATATCATGTTATTGTTATTTCTCTGTGTATTGTTAACAAGTTTTTATTGTGTTATATAAATTGTTATTAATTCCCATCTATCTCCTCTGTTCTTTTGTGTCATTTTTGTTCACTTTTCCACGCTGCCTTTTCTCCTTTTCTTGTGAGGATATTGTGCAGAGTAAATGTCTAGTGTACAGAAATATTATATATATCGTGATCATGTCCATGATGGTTTAAATTTGGTGCACCGAAAAATAGTTTTAAGTCTTCTGAAAATTACTGTGGCGTTCTGCTTGAAAATAGTATTAATTAGTTTACAAGTAGGAGAGTATTCGGCAATTTTAAAAACCAGATAAATAGTGTAAACATTAATTATTTAAAATTAAAATTAATTCTGGGAAGTGTTTTCTTATTAGTTAAGCCTCCGTGGTATAGAAAATGGGTTTTATTCCCATCAAAGTTTGGTCTGAGCTTTGCCTTAGACAGCTTAGGGAAGATGTCTTGAAAGGGGTTCGAAGGCTGCCGGCTCCTAATCTAGAGGTGTGACACATTGTCTCATAAGTCAGCAGCCTTCGGGGTACCTTCAAAGACATATTCCTTAAGCCGTCTGAGGCAAATTTTGCCTCAATCATCTTCGGAGGCATCAGATAAAATCAAATTTTGAGGAGATATCAAATCATTCTTCTGTACTTCTGAGGCATAAACAGTTTATAACATTCAGGAACTAAAATATTACAATTTGCTACAAAGTTCATTTATCATGAAACGAGACATGAATTAGACATGAGTTCGTTTATCATGAATTAGTTGCAGTAGAGAGTTTCAGAGTTACAGCTAGAGTAGAATTACAGGGAAGAAATGTATATGGATACCTCTGTTAATTAGGCAAATACATTTTACTAAATCTACAGCGCTTATTGCTAGCATAGATGGAACGTACAAAAATGAACTGCAGGTGGTGTTAGAATGAGAGAACACAATAGGGGGATGTTACAAGAGGGGGTTACACAGTGGGGGGTGTTAGAAGAGAGGTAACACAATAAGAGGTGTTACAAGGTTGGGGGTTACACAGTAGATGTTAGAATAAGAGGGAACACACTAGGTGGTATTACAAGAGGGGGTTACACAGTAGGGAGTGTTAGAAGAGAGGTAACACAATAGGGGGCATTACAAGGTGGGGGTTACACAGTAGATGTTAGAATAAGAGGGAACACACTAGGTGGTATTACAAGAGGGGGTTACACAGTAGGGAGTGTTAGAAGAGAGGTAACACAATAGGGGGCATTACAAAAGTGGATTACACAGTAAGGAGTGTTAGAATTTAGGGAAAGATATAACTTACCTATAGATGGGTGTTGTAAGTGGCTCTCTGAACCACAGTAGAAGGTATATAGCGTCATCTGAAGGGTGGGAGACGTCACAGGGCAGTGTCGCTGACCCCCCCTCCACCCCCGACACTGCCACCACCGGTACTGTCGGAAAGGAAAGTGTCGTTAAGACAGGCTCTATAATTTCACAATGTCATGTAAATGCAGAAATAGATCTCCCTTGAAACACAAACCGTGACTGTATTTTCCGCTTGTTACAACTTGTAATAAAGTTGTTACATCTTGGCTTAACGTGTTTATGACGTATTAGAACGTTGTTACAACTGGCTATATTGGTTGTTATAACTGGTTAGGTGTTAAAACTTGTTCGAACGTTGTAGCAACGTCATAGTTTCGGTGTGTGTTTAGCTGGCTTGGTATAAAGATTTGTAGATAGATCGAACGCATTAGTTCTGTGATTGCTTCATTGTTTTAAGTGTAGGTTATACATACGAGTGTGGTTGGGGTTAAATGCGACCTGCATGGGGTTGAGCTTCGGCTCTTTGGTCCCGTCTCTCAACTGTCAGTCAACTGATGTACAGGTCCCTGCGACTATTTGGCTCCATTTTATGCAATAAAGTTCTCTCTTCAGATACAAACCATAATAGCCTGATATATTAAATGAACAAATCCACAACATTCCCTGCGTAGGTTCGAACCCTCATCACGGCCCTTGTGGATTTGTTCACGGTTCTCGCTGTTCTAATGTTCTTATGTTCTTATACAAACTGTTGTATTTCATATTCAACTTATTAATATAAGGGACAAAGTTATTAATATAAGACAAAGTTAGAGAAGATTCAGCGGTATGCCACCAGGCTCGTCCCGGAACTGAGAGGAATGAGCTACGAGGAAAGGCTAAAGGAGCTGAACCTCACATCCCTGGAAAACAGAAGAGTAAGGGGAGATATGATAACCACCTACAAAATTCTCAGAGGACATGACAGGGTGGACAAAGACAAACTCTTCACCACGGGTGGGACACGAACAAGGGGACACAGGTGGAAACTTAGTACCCAGATGAGCCACAGAGACGTTAGAAAGAATTTTTCAGTGTCAAGAGTAGTTAATAAATGGAATGCACTAGGAAGTGATGTGGTGGAGGCTGACTCCATACACAGTTTCAAGTGTAGATATGATAGAGCCCAGTAGGCTCAGGAATCTGAACACCAATTGATTGACAGTTGAGAGGCGGGACCAAAGAGCCAGAGCTCAACCCACGCAAGCACAACTAAGTACATCTAGGTAAGCACACACACACAAGAACATAAAATAGGGAAGAAAATATTGACCAAACTGACTAATATGACTCGATATCTTCAATGATAACATCTTCAGTGCCCTACAAGGTTACATTACATAAACTTGGAGGATTTATTCGACGAAAAAGATATCTATAAATCAGGAGAGGTAATAAATCGACAGAAACCAATCTACTTCTTTGGTAAAACTTGAGTTATCATGATAACTGATAAGCGCTTCTGACGAGGAATACTTTTCATACTGTTGGCTCAGTAACAGATATAAGGTGGGTCTGTTGGATGGTGGGTCTTGGTGGGTCTGTTGGATGGTGGGTCTTGGTGGATCTGTTGGATGGTGGGTCTTGGTGGGTCTGTTGGATGGTGGGTCTTGGTGGATCTGTTGGATGGTGGGTCTTGGTGGATCTGTTGGATGGTGGGTCTTGGTGGATCTGTTGGATGATGGGTCTTGGTGGGTCTGTTGGATGGTGGGTCTTGGTGGATCTGTTGGATGGTGGGTCTTGGTGGATCTGTTGGATGGTGGGTCTTGGTGGATCTGTTGGATGATGGGTCTTGGTGGGTCTGTTGGATGGTGGGTCTTGGTGGATCTGTTGGATGGTGGGTCTTGGTGGATCTGTTGGATGGTGGGTGTTGGTGGGTCTGTTGGATGGTGGGTCTTGGTGGATCTGTTGGATGATGGGTCTTGGTGGATCTGTTGGATGGTGGGTCTTGGTGGATCTGTTGGATGATGGGTCTTGGTGGATCTGTTGGATGGTGGGTCTTGGTGGATCTGTTGGATGATGGGTCTGTTGGATGGTGGGTCTTGGTGGATCTGTTGGATGGTGGGTCTTGGTGGATCTGTTGGATGATGGGTCTTGGTGGGTCTGTTGGATGGTGGGTCTTGGTGGATCTGTTGGATGATGGGTCTTGGTGGGTCTGTTGGATGGTGGGTCTTGGTGGATCTGTTGGATGGTGGGTCTTAGTGGATCTGTTGGATGGTGGATCTTGGTGGATCTGTGGATGATATAAGGTGCTCGTCATAGCTGGGACTGTGACCAGTATCAGGTGACAAATCTAATTGCATTGTGACGAGTTACCTAGTAACGAAAATAACAGGTAATTTAATCAGTCGTTATCCACAATTCCTATAATAGATACTGACCTCAAAATTCTGGATATATATATATATATAATGACCGAAAAAGTAAGATTAATAATTCTAACACGAATTTTCTCACTATTTCTCATGTTTCCTTTTTCATGTCGATGGTAATTGAAAAATCAATTCTCCAAAATTCATTTATATTTCTAGTCTTGAGTAATCTTTATTTCTAGAGTAGATATAAAAATGAATTTTGGAGAATTGATTTTTCAATTACCATCGACAGTAAAAAGAAACATAAGAAATATTGAGAAAATTCGTGTTAGAATTATTAAACTTACTTTTTCGGTCATTATATATATATATATATATATATATATATATATATATATATATATATATATATATATATATATATATATATATGTTAAACTCTGTAACCAGTTCATCAATGCTGTAAGTTACTTAGCTAATCTAATAGAGAGGCTCTGTTGCTAATCCCATTACGTGTCTGTGAGGAGTTTGCACCAATGCTCCCTGGATGTGTCTGGGGTGCATATTAAATGAACTAACTAGAACAGAGGAGGTCAAATATGTCAAAGGTCATACACATGACCTTTCCTACTTTACTAGTGAGCTATGAACACCTTTTTGTGTTGTTTTGTTATGAGTTAATCAATCAGGAGGTTGCCTAAGTGTTCCAATTTCCATTTTGGTTGCTTGCAAGGTTTGTTGTTGCAGAAATGCAGTTTAGTAACTGGTTCATTTGATTTTTTGAGTTCGTATGAGTTGAAATGCTTTCGTGTTTAATTAGAAAGCAAATGCATGCAATTCGATTGGTCGCAATGGCAGGTTGGTCGTTACAAGAAGTCTCTGAAGATGGGTACTCAGGTACTTCTGTTGTCATAACAGTACTCAGGTACTTCTGTTGTCATAACAGCACTCAGGTACTTCTGTTGTCATAACAGTATTCAGGTACTTCTGTTGTCATAACAGTATTCAGGTACTTCTGTTGTCATAACAGTATTCAGGTACTTCTGTTGTCATAACAGTACTCAGGTACTTCTGTTGTCATAACAGTACTCAGGTACTTCTGTTGTCATAACAGTACTCAGGTACTTCTGTTGTCATAACAGTACTCAGGTACTTCTGTTGTCATAACAGTACTCAGGTACTTCTGTTGTCATAACAGTACTCAGGTACTTCTGTTGTCTGCGTCTTGAAACTCTGTTCACTCACACTCTGTTCACTTAAGTGCATGTGAAAGCACTTAAGATTCTATTGTCTGTTTACCCCCTTGGGAAGCCACTTAAAGTTAACCTCACTTTTTTAAGCATTTTAAGTGAGATGCTTAAACTAACCTAACATTCTAAGACTTTTAAGTCTTAGACTGTGAACATTAACTAAGACTGCTAACATCAGTGTGGCTTGGCACTGGCACTTTGTCCTTATCTGTTCACACAATCGCCACACTGTTCTTCTGTTCACCTCGTTTACAAGCGGTTATACAGTGGCATTGTTCTTCTGTTCAACCCACTTACAAGCACTTTCCCAGTGGCATTGTTCATCTTTTCACACAATTGCAAGTAACTTACCCTCCTCCTCCGACTGTTGCATGCCGGCACTGTCCTTTGACTGGTGTCGTTACCTACGTTCTGCGCAGCTAACGAGGTGATGTGATGAATGGAAGTGTAAATAGGTCTCTCGCCTGGTCGAGGTTCTTGAAGCACTGCCTCAAAATTGCGAGTTATGACTTTGTTGGGGAAAATGAGGAAGTTTGTCCTGCTGTGTGAGCGGGTTTGGTGTGTGGGTGTGTGGGGGGGGGGTGTGGGTGGGTGTGTGTGTGTGTGTGTTTGAGTGTGTGTGTGTGGGTGAGTGTGGTTGTGTGTATGAGTGTGTGCTTGGTTGTGTGTGGTGTGTGTGTGGTGTGTTTGGTGTGTGTGTGTGTGTGCGTGTGTGAGTGAGTGGATCGTTCTATACCATATATATATATATATATATATATATATATATATATATATATATATATATATATATATATATATATATATATATATTATAATGTTATGCCAATTATATACCTAATTCATTATTTCTTTTAGCTTTCCTTGTATATTTTTTAACATTTTTAGCTCTCCAAAATGTTGATCTTGACAGACTTTCTCATTCCTAATTATTCCTTGTGTAAATTTTTTGTTTTAAAAAACTGATATTGGGTAAAAACTTGACTACACTGAATAGCCGTGAGAGTTTAATATTAGAATATACACTTCTCCTCCCGGCTTGCTCTCAAGCACTTGGATTGGACGGTAGAGCGACGGTCTGGCTTCATGCAGGTCGGCGTTCAATCCCCGACCGTCCACAAGTGGTTGGGGCACCATTCCTTTCCCCCCGTCCCATCCCAAATCCTTTTCCTGACCCCTTCCCAGTGCTATATAGTCGTAATGGTTTGGTGCTTTCCCTTATAATACCCCTCAATCATAACTCAGATCAGCATTGATCATCTGAGCTAAGCCTAATTCAAATGATCCTGTATTAAGTTGTATTCCACCTGCAGCTGTTGTCCTGTTATTTGTCCTGATCACAGGATGTAATCTTTTCCTACTGTATGCGATGGTTATTCAACAGCTGCAAAAAAACTGCGGGCTCACCATAGCCCGTGCTACTTGGAACTTTGTGTTCCAGGTAGCGAATCTTGCACAACATTAACAGCTGTTTCAACACTAAAACAACAGTGAAATGTTGCAGAATTGTGTTGTTTGTACTGAAGTAAGTGTTGCGTGCTGGAGGGAAGGTTATCTTGAGTTGATTTCGGGGCTTTAGTGTCCCCGCGGCCCGGTCCTTGACCAGGCCTCCACCCCCAGGAAGCAGCCCGTGACAGCTGACTAACACCCAGGTACCTATTTTACTGCTAGGTAACAGGGGCATTCAGGGTGAAAGAAACTTTGCCCATTTGTTTCGGCCTCGTACGGGAATCGAACCCGCGCCACAGAATTACGAGTCCTGCGCGCTATCCACCAGGCTACGAGGCCCCCTACGAGGGAAAGCGATACATAAAATATTTTTATATGTTCGTGACTTGAAAAAATACTGATTTTTCGATGTGTTTATTTTTATTCATGTTATTGAGTGTTTATTTTTGAGCAGCTGGTGACCTGTGTTGCTATAGCAACACACAAGTGGCAACACTGCCGTGTTTTGAAGCCGCATCACCCGTTCAAAACCTCGAAATCTGGAGGTGAAATGCTTTAAATCAACACATTTGTGTAAGGTTGCGTATGAATCTTTCATTACAAAAGGCGTGACTCTATGCTATTTTAATCCGTTCTCGCACTTTCTTATAGTCAATATTGACTTATTAAATAACCTCATAATTACGCTTAATTGTTCCCCAAATAGCCAACCCATTCTCGCACTTTAAGTCAATATTGACTTATTAAATAAGTGCATATGTGACATACTAATTTATTGTGAATATTTTTGTTTACCTTGAAAAGCTTCATAGAAAACACCGACCTTACCTAACCTTCTTAGTATGTTAAGATAAGCATCTTATTGCTTCGTAATTACAATTATTACTTAACCTATACCTATAATTGGTTAAGTAATAATTGTAATTATGAAGCAATAAGATGCTTATCTTAACATACTAAGAAGGTTAGGTAAGGTCGGTGTTTTCTATGAAGATTTTCAAGGTAAACTAACATTCACAATAAATTAGTATGTCACATATGCACTTATTAAATAAGTCAATATTGACTTAAAGTGCGAGAATGGGTTGGCTATTTGGGGAACAATTAAGCGTAATTATGAGGTTTTATTTATTAATGTTAGTTTTTATTATTTATATATTATTGACTTATTGTTTTGAATCTATCGATTTGTTCTCTTATTAGTATAAATATTTTTAAATCAGTTTATGTCTTCAGTCTTCACACTTTTGTAGGTTTGTATTTGTTTCAGAGTAATTTAAAAGACCTAAATTGGTCTATCAAAATTTTCTTACAAAAATAAAAAAAAAATTTGTATCTGTGTCCTGATAAATATTCAATCAAATTATTTATTGAATATTTCGAATTGTTTCAAGCCTAAAAGTGTGTTTGCAGGCCCGAGGGAAGGGAGCTACCTTGGAAACACAAACCGAAACTGTCTCTATTTTCCGCTTGTTACAACTTGTAATAAAGTTGTTACATCTTGACTTAACGTGTTTATGACGTATTAGAACGTTGTTACAACTTGCTATATTGGTTGTTATAACTGGTTAGGTGGTGTTAAAACTTGTTCAAACGTTGTAGAAACGTCGTAGTTTCAGTGTGTTTGGCAGGTAAGGACCTCCTAACAATCATTGTCTCCTGGATATTCCTTGAAGGGGATAGAGGCTCCTAATTAACGAGGAGTAACGCCGTAAGTAACGAGGCTCGTTACTTACGCCAGCGTTACTTAGGTCTCGTTAGCGTGTTTATGACTCGTCTGACGTTGTTTGTGATTATATCTAATGTGTTTTGAATCTTACGGGAGGATAATTTGATTTGTAACTCTTCTCTGTGTTATAAAGTGATCAAGTGGTCTTTCAGGCATCAATCTTGAGGTGATTTCGGGGCTTAGCGTCCCCGCGGCCCGGTCCTCGACCAGGCCTTCTTTTTGTTACACATCCCCTTGTTTTGTCAAGACATCCCCAGGAAGCAGCCCGTAGCAGCTGTCTAACTCCCAGGTACCTATTTACTGCTAGGTAACAGGGGCATAGGGTGAAAGAAACTCTGCCCATTGTTTCTCGCCGGCGCCTGGGATCGAACCCACGACCACAGGATCACAAGTCCAGCGTGCTGTCCGCTTGGCCGACCGGCTCCCTATTTAAGGTTGCAAAAGAATTGCAATCTGGGGTACTGTGGCACCCAAAAGCAGTACTTGTAGTACTCTATGCAACAAGTGACTTTTAAAT